AATTATTAACTTATTATTAAGTTAATTTGTTACAAAGTTATTCTTCAATTACAGCAAATTCTCATTCCTTATATACATGTTTGATTATATGTATCCTAGTTTAGGATAATTAGCCTGGATTAAGATATTTCTCCTAATTCAAGATAATTCTCCCAAGTTAGGATAATTCTCTCTTTTGCATTCCAGTGACAATATCATCTAATGATTTTTTTGATGGCTTGATTTCGTTGATGTAGTATATATAGTGATATTTCATTCTGACACCAACTATATTTCTATGAAGTTCTCCTAAATATAAGTATAAACATGTTGAATCTTGCTGAAGCTCAAGCTTATGCTGAAAAATGCAGAGGAAGAGTTTTATTCAACCAGTCCACTATCTACTTGTTTTGTGCCATAAAATCACTATGGAAAAGATAACTAGAAATCATTATGAAGAGATATGACTGATCCCCCCTATGCCCTTATTCAACAGGGGACATACATTGGGATATATATTAGAAGATTTGCTAAGTAAAAAACTCCCCCACATGCACCAAAGTTCTTACAAGGATTATGGCTCAACAAATACAACAAAGAATTGCAACTGGCATTTGAATTTAATGGGAAACAACATTACCATCTCAATCTGTTATTTCACCCACATGGCCATGTGGATCTAGATTCTCAAATTTTTGTATGATTGAAAAAAGCAGGATATTTGTGCAAAGCATGGAATTACATTAATCAAAGACCATATTTTGTGGATATTGAATCTTTTATATGAGAAGCTCTAATCAAGAATGGCCATCTCCAAGACTGTTCCAATTGATAATGATGTATTTCAAGGAAGCTCTTGTTTGAAGTCACATGATTCTGATCATTAACAATGTTAAAGTTTGATAGTATAATGAATCTGGTGGATATTTGAGGTTTTCCATATCTACAATTTGCCATTCTTTCACACTTAAATGGTTGATATGAATTTCTACCCATTAAATGTCTTGTAGATTCAACCACTTCCTTTTCAAGATAATATAAGACAGGCTGTGGTGGATTCTTTTCAGTGATTGCCTTTCTGATTTGGTAGACTGCAATGAGAAGATGGATAAGTTGCTCTGCATGTATGTCCATCTTCCAATTCTCCAGACCAATCATATTGCGAACATGTGACTTGATATCTTCCGTCCTTACATTATTACTATTATGACCTAATTATGACAATTTAAAATGGATGTCTAAATATACTTATTACGACATTATGGTATGCCAAAAGTCATAATAGTTTGGGCTGCATGTACAGTTGTTACATATCCAACTTGTTCTTCATAATTTAAAGGAATAATACTAGAGAATTACTCATGTAAAGTCATTAATTAGAAATATGGAAAACCTATTTATATAGCAATGTGGATTTGAAATATGGATTTATTCCTAAATTTGGGAAATTAGAGAAAATTAATAACCCGTATATCACGTGTATTCATTGTAACACGATTTAAATATAAAAATCAGTTGAGAATTATTATCTAATACTGCTAGTAAAAAAGGATAATTAATCCAGCCTTTTAATTTAATATTATGATAAATTTTTGTGATATAGGGAATAACATCAATTAGAGGAGAACAAACGAAAATGAAAATTGTCGCCATCTACTCTTCCATTATCATCTCCTCCAAAAACTAACATCAACTGAGCAACATCAAGAGATAAGAAATGCAATAATTTTTAAAAATTGGTGCGCATGATGCACAATGCGCATTTTTAAAAATTTTTAATTAACGAAACTAAATCAGTGCAACATACTTTGTATATAACAATTTGCAATATTTAGAAAGAATTGACAACGATACTATCTCTCTTTGGAAATTTCCGAAAGGAAAATTTTGTGAAACAAAATTGATTGCGTTGTATAATTAATTTGATCATTTTACCAAAAATATGAAAAAATATTTTCCCGCCACTAAAAAATTTGGAATTAATCCATTATTGTTAAAGGAAAATCAATTAAGCTTTTTTTGAAAAAGATTCTTTTCTAATACTAAAATACTAATTGAACAATTGCCACTAGAAAAGCGACAATTTGAATCAATAAAGCTTTTTTTTGAAAAGATTCGTCTTCTAAAAATGTAAAAAAAAAACGTAACGATTCGGAAATTAATTCATTATTATTATTATTGATTAATATTGAACCACGCCTTTTTGGAAATACGAAAAAAACGTTATCGTTGAAGGAATTGACGAGGCTTTCTAAAAGATTAGAGGTTGTGAGCATTGATGAATTGTATTAAATTTTCTGAAAAACATTTATGCTTGTATAATGTGATGATTACACAAACTCGCTGCAATCTTTTAAATTTATACATTATTATATACATTAAACTATTCATCGCTTTCGTTATTACTACTACTATTTTCACCAATGTTATCTCACTGACCTCAATAACATTATCATCTTCATCTACATTTGTAACTTATTCAAATTTTTTTTATTTTCCAATTTATATATAAACTAACAATCAATTGTCAATCTATTTCATGTATGTAAGAGAATGCAGATCAATTCCTCTCAGATACAGCAGATGATGTAGGAATTAAAAGAACTCAAGTTAATAAATCAACATTATCAAATGATGACCATACTATGAATTATCAAACATTCCAGTGTGTGCTTTATATTGTAGAAATTGTCCCCATTTTTACAGAATCATTCAAATAATACTTTACTATAAAATTTGATAATTATTATTGTTATTTATCAATATCTCAAAACAGCAGTTTGATATATGAGTGAAATCAATTGAGAATATAAAAAATTAATACAGTAAATACAATTGATATTTATTTATATCAAAAATTTAAAAATTACATATCATCCATCCGAGGAATTTTGAATTTCGACAAATTTGTAAATTGATTATTAGAGTATTACATTGCTTGGGAAATATAAATACACAGTGATTTAAAATACTCTATTATTAAAATGGTAAATCAGCATTATAACCTTTAATTGTTTCAATTTTTTTAAGTTTTCTCAATCCCTTCGTAACTTGTTTAGCAGGACAATGACCTATAGGCGCATAATGTACAATAAAATCGCCTGGTAAATAACGATCAGGAAAAGTATTTATAACATGATCATCTTGCTCGATACGATAAACCTGAAATAATAATATTTATCAATTAAAAAATTTTTTTTTTAAAAAAATTATTAATTATTACTAACAAATCAAAAATTATAGTTTTATTACCTGGTCTCTCCATTTATGTTCTTTTATCGTATCTTTTAAGGCTGCTTGTTCTATCGATCCTGAAAAGGCTCTATCAATTCTACCTTGAACGGCTCTTAAAAGTCTAAAACTCCAATCTGTATTTCTAATTAAAAATACGCCAGCATTTATCATGTGATCTCCAATCGGTCTAGCCACAATGAAATTTATATCATTAAAATCACGTTCATCATTTTCTCCAATCATTCTTTCTTTAATCTTTTCAAATAATTGTTCAATGGAAAATGTACGATTAACAAAAATTGCATCCATATCCAACCAAACCACCCATTCATAATATGGTAATATAGTTTCTACGAAATCAATTTTTCCCCATACTTTCTGACGCACACGGAATGTTTGTTGCCAGTATTCTGTAGATCTAGCCACAAATGCATAACCATGTTTATTAGCATAAACACGTTTATTATCAGCAGATAAAATACCTGCAACATTCATACAATCGTCTGAATATAAATAGCTGCTTGTTGTTATAGCTATTGAAGGTCTATAACTTTTGTTTAAATCAACATTATTGTAACGATTTAAAATTGTGCTGGTTTTGTTTAAATTCATTCTCGATTTACATGGTATTATTTGTTCTATTGATAAACCTGATAATAAATCTGTCATAATCCAACTCTGATAAATATTACCTATTGCAATCACATTATCTATACCAGATGATATACTGTCGATTGAATTTGGCCATTCTACAATAGATGAATTATCATTGACTATTATAATGTCATTACCATTAATATTTATAAAATTATTATTATTATTATTTTCTATTTTATTTCTAACAAATCTTGAAACAAGATTTGTGTAATTAGCTGTAGATTCACTGATTAAAGGAACTTCCAAAATCTTTGGAATAACATTTGAACCTAAAACAGTGAACATATTGTCAGTTAAATTTGTTCTAAACGATCCCCAAATTAAATTTCGTTTATCTATTATATTGTTGTTTCCTATCAAAGAAGTTCTCGAATATAAGACCTTTTGAAGTTTGATTAAATTTGGTAAAGTTAAGGAATCTTGAATCACCAGGAAGTCGTATGATATACATAATTCATCATTTAAAGTTTGAGACTATAAAATAAATAGAAAGGTTATTTGACAATAATCAATCGTACATTTTTCCGCAAAAAATAATCTGCAACCACAACATTAATTTTATTGATGGGTGGGTTAGGCATATTTAGAAATTAAATTGGCGATCGCAGATGATTTTTGCGGAATTTTTACAAATGATAAAAAAGATCCATACCCATTTTAACATTAGGGCCTGCCAATCATCAACACCGTTATCAGTAATTTCTGTCAAATCATTATATTCCATTTTTTCTGCTATAAATTTTCTTGCCTTATAATCTTTAATGTTATTATCACTTTTTGCTAGGAATTGATAATAGATGTTATGAAAAGGTTGTTCCTTATTATCTTGATGCATACAGGGTATTAAATTATCATTTATGTTGAATAACAATTTTCTCAGTAATTTTCTCCGATTAAATTCCTCAATCCTTGAAGAAATTATTAATACCAGATTATAATGGTTTGGGAAAATATTTGGATTTCTAGATAAATCTTTTTTACAATTACTACGAAAAGGGACGGTATTTTCTTCAGGTGGTGGCGGCAACATTTTTGTATGTGTTGCGGAAACAGTGATTGGTGGATAATCATTTTCATTATTTGGAGTTTCGACTTCTTCAACAGAATCATGTTTACTGGAAATTTCTTGGACAAAAGGTGTTGACGGTATAAAATAAGATAAAGTCAATAGAAAAAAAATAAAGGTTGCTATCAAAAGCCTTCTTTTTTTAAATTGATAGTAATAGGCGAATGTAGTAGTCAAATGATTATTTTGACCCATTTTATCAGACATAATATAGTGTAGAGGGCTTTTTCTTTTATTTCTACTGACAAAAAAACTCTACCATTTTATATGAACATCAATGAAGCGGTGTAACATTAATCTCGCGTGCTCGACGTTACACGGTATTAGTATGGCTTAACCAAAATTGATGATAATATAATGACATGACCGGGAAAATTCTATTGTATGTATATATGACTGCCAAATATATTATACCCGTCACGTGATTAAATTTACGACATCAAATGTTGCGCCGAGTGCCAAACCCAAATCCAAAAATTAGCAATGACATTCTTTACTCAATCATTTATCGTTAGTGCCGTATTATTCGAATTATTAGTTATCAAATTTGAGTATACGAATTATATTGAAAGTTTATTCGAATAAACAGAATAAAGCGTATAAACAAATTAAAATAACTGATAATTCGAATTCGAGCAAAACGAAATTTGAAGAAATGAGGATTTATATTACTATTACTCTAATACTCGTTCGGGACATCAAAATTAGCCATATTATTGTTGTTGTTGTTTATTATTGTTTATTTGCTGAACAATAAATTCATTTATTTTAAGAGTTGTTACATATACAAATATGTTGTGCGTGAATTTGTGATTTTGAAAGATTTAATTAATACATTTTCAATTTGATTTTCACACTATTTTTTCTAATTTTGTTCTGGTTACGTGTAAGTAGTGATAATCATGCGCCAAATCTAGTAAAATCGTGCAACTTCAAACCACCAAGATTTTTAAAAAAATTCCTATTTTATTGTCAAAAAAATAAAGTTTTTTTTTCAATTTTATTAATAAAAAGAAAAAGCCTTGGCGCACCATATAAGAATTACAGAAAAAATATTTTAATGCGGTCTAGAGCACTAACGATTTCAAATTTATGTTGTGTGACTATATAATTTTAAAGTATTAAAGACTTCAAATAACAAACATTAAATTATTATTATTGTTACCAGAATTAGGATTTAAAGTTAATTTGTTAGTCGAAATACCCTAATTCCGAACCAAATCTTTTATTTCTATTTTTATTTTATTTACTTTATTTTTAT